GGTATGTTCCACTATGCAGTGATGTTTACTCTCTAACCACACGACTGCCAGCAGATCATTTCAGGAGTATTTACATTTCCTTCAGGGCAACAACTGGAAACAATTTCTCCGTAAATTGCACCAATTGTAAATTATCTATAATCATGCACATTTAAAATAGTACTTTCCAAAAAAAATTGCAAGGTCTCATTATAATGCTGCGACGTGATGATGTATGATTTTTACACTGAACAAAACGAGCATAAAATCAATTATTCCCATGGAGTGAATATATAGGTTAAGTCAGAAATAATATACAGAGTATATATTGCAATATATAAACCTTATTTGTTTTGTCCTCATCATATATTATGTCTGATAAAGATGGTGTGGAAGTTTGAAAGACAGCTTTAAACAGAAGTGTAAAACAAGTTTTTTTCAAGCATACAGCCATCTACAGCAGAATGATAAGACCCAGGCATGGAATTGTCTTCCATAAACTTTGGACAACTGGCTCCATGATTTGAGGGAAAAGTGCTTTCATATGTATACCATGTGACAATCAAATGCAGATTGAAGTAGTCTGGCCCCTCAGTGTGAAAGACAGTTCATCATTCACCTCATGTGGCCTCTGTGGATGGAGAAGAGTTTATTTGTTCAGTTCACTTACCTTCCAGTGAATTGGATATTTATGAGGATTTTAAACATGTGATTTTCCCATTTGTTCCTTTCCTCATGGGTGTTTGAAGGAAAACAGTTGAAGTTTGGCGTGCATGCAATATGGTTTTATAAGAAGCTACTGAAAGGAGCAGTGTGTGTTTTTGTGTCTGTGTGAATTTCACTTTTACCCTGTCGCATTAACACTGAACCCAGTTTCTGTTCTCAACCGATGGTGAGACTTACCAACATGAAGAGTAGCACTGCCTCTAGCATTTCATGAGAACAAAATAAACAAAGCCTGTTTTTACACTTCATGAGGTGGGTAAAATATCGCTGCTCCTTGGCCAACGTGAAGACTGTGGAAAAACAGAGGAAATCTGCACAGAATCAAATGACATCTTGCTGAGAATATTCTCCATTGCCCGAAGTTACAGCAAAATCCACCTCCTCCAACAGATTCGCAGCAGACATAAGTAATATTTCCTGGAAGAAGGTTGTTGATTTTTCACAATTATTTGCCTCTTCACTTTTAACTGGTTTCAGCTGCTGTCTCGCTAACACTTGATATTAGATCACTACAACAGTCTTTGCTGCAAAAGTCTCTAAACTCAGCCCAAACTGCAGGGCATGTTTAACAATAGATGCTTTGTTCAGTCATCAGCCATCCCTTCCTTTGTATTCTCATATATTTCCATCCGTCAGAGGGACTGTTGATCTCTTCTCCAGATCTGTTCAGTGACTCAATGCAACTTAAAGTTTTTATCTAGAGTTTATTATTTCTGTCTAGCGCATAATGTGTTCAGTGACTCAGGGTTTTTATCCTACACACGTAATACAGTGAGTGTGCAATAAAGCCTGACAGATGTTTTCAGCCC